TATTTGTTATTTCTTTTTTTTCTGCTGGGTTTGGGTTTCATTTGGTCTTGCCTTTCCAGTGTCTTGAGTTGCAGTGTTAGGTATTTTATTTGGGCTCTTTCTAATTTTTTAATGTAGGCACTTAGAGCTATAAACTTCCCTGGTAGGACTGCTTTTAATGTATCCCACAGGTTGTGTTGTGTTGTACTGTTGTTTTTGTTGAATTCCAGGAATTCTTTTATTTCTTTCTTAATTTCTCCTTTGACCCATTAATTGTTTAGGAGTGTGTTGTTCAGTTGCCACAAGTTCCTGTAGTGACTAGGGCTTTATCCAGTGTTGATTTTGAGCTTTATTGCATTGTGGTCTGATAGACTGCATGGAATTATTTTAATTTTTTTTCTGTTTGTTGAGGTTTGTTTTGTGGCACAGTATGTGCTCGGTTTTTGAAAAAGTTCCATGGGGTGCTGAGTAGAAAGTGTATTCTTTGGTGCTTGGGTGGAATATCCGAAAGATGTCTGTTAGGTCCATTTGATGTCTGGTTCAGATGTCTCTGTTTATTCTTTGTCCAGTTCACCTGCCTAATGGAGATAGCAGGGTGTTGAAGTCCCCTACTATTACTGAGTTGGGATTAATCTATATCTTAAAGTCCTATAGTATTGTTTTTATGAATTTGGGTGCACCAGAATTTGGTGCATATATGTTAAGGATTGTAATATCTTCTTGTTTAACTGTTCCTTTGATCAGAATAAAGTGACCCTCCTTATCTCTTTGGATTAGTTTTACTTTGAAGTCTGTTTTGTTAGATATTAGAATTGCAACCCCTGCTTATTTCTTAGTGCCATTTGCTTGGAATACTCTTTTTCCATCCTTTGACCTTAAGGTAGTGCCTGTCCTTTAAGGTGAGTTGGGTTTCTTGCAGACAGTAAAGAGATGGATTTTGTTTCTTAATACACTCAGCCTGTGTCTTTTGACTGGGGAGGGAACAGATCAGCTATTCAGGAGTACCCACCAAAGACTAATGCAGGTTCCAGTCAGGTATACTCAGGCTTCCTTCACCACATGGAGTCAGGATCCAGGCATTCTCGGGCAGTCCCCTGCGTTCTCAGGCCCTCTGCCAGAGGGAGGCCAGAACTAGCCACCCTCTCAGGCTATCTGCTAGGATCTCAACCTTAGCCTACCAAAGCCACATCTGCCCTGGGGCCTTGGGAGGGGCCTCACGAAATCCCAGGTAGGGGATGGGTATGGCACAATTAGATCCTGTGGTGGCAGGATCTGGGGGCTCTCAGGCAGTCTTCTGCATTCTCAGGCCCTCTGCCAGAGGGAGGCCAGTGGAATGCCAGAACTCGGCACTCTCTGGAGGTCTGCTGAGATCAGAGCAGCTACACCGATGGAGGTTGAAACCTACCCTCTCAGACTCCTTTTTTTCTACTTTGATTGCTCTTGATTTTCTTTTAAGGTTTTTAAGTCTTTGTTCTGAGATCCCTTTTTTTCTTTTTTCGTAATATTGGCATTTAATACTAGAAATTCTCTATTAAATTCTCTTTACTTGCATCTGATAAATCATTTTCATTCAGTTCAAAATTCCTTCTATTTTCTACTTTTAATTTCTTCTTGGTTCATGAGTTATTTAGAAAGTATTGTGTAGTTCCCAAACCCATAAGACTTTTCTAAGAATCTTATTAACTTTTATAAGTCCATTATGATAGGAGAAAATAATGCTATATATTACTTGAATCCTTTTAAATTTATTGATATTTGTCTTATAGCCCAGACTATTATCTACCTTGATAAATCAAGAGGTTTATAGTAGAATAATATTTTTCTTTTCATTCTAGAACTCTCACAATATTCTCATAAATGTCAGTTGGTTCATAGTGTCAGTCTGCTCTACCATATCACTGCCATTGTTCTATCCACTGTCTTATCAGTAGCTGAGGGGTAGGTATTGAAATGTGTACTTCTAACTTGATTGTATTTCCTGTAGTTCTATCCATCTTTGCCTCATATACTTGTATATGTGCATATATACACATTTACATATATACATATACATATAAAATACACACATGAAAGTATATATATTTGTTGTGGTGTGAATTTACACCAAGGCCTCACACATGCTAAGCAAACTTTCTGTCACTGAGCTGTATCCCAAGATCACCTTCATATGTTTTAATATTTCTTTTTCGTTTTAGCAGTGTTTGGTGGTTGGGGCTGGAGCGATGACTCAACAGTTAGGATTGTGGACTGTTCTTGCAACCAAACCAAGTTTAGTTTCTAGCACTCACATCAGGTGGTTCACAACCTCCTGTAACTCCAGCTCTGGGGGATCTGATGCCATTTTCTGGCTTCCAAGGGTACTGTTTTTTCTTTCTATTGTGCTGAAAATATACACACACACACACACACACACACACACACACACACACACACACACACAATTAAAAATAGATAAAAATCATTAAAAAAATCTTTGGAGTGTAGGCCAACATGGTGCTGCATACCTTTAATCCTAGTGCTTGAGAGGTAGAGGCAGGCAAATCTCTTTGAATTCAAGGCCAGCTTGGTCTACATAATGAGTTCTAGGCCAACCAGGCCTACATAGTGAGACCATTCTCAAAAATCAAAGTTTTGGGATAGATCTGTCTCCTTTATCATTATGTGATAATATCTCTCATCATCATCTTTGCTCTGAAATCTACATTTTTCTGATATTGTATGCATGCATGTATGAGATATATCACATATATATACACATTGATATATATGCTTCATTTTAATTACTCTCATGTATATCATTTTTAAATTATTTTTACTCTAATTGTGCCTTTATGCTTAAAATGCCTTTCTTGGCCACAACATGTAGTTTTGACTTGACCTTTACCAGATCTGACCATCTCTGTCTTTTACTTGGCAGTGTTTAATATAATTATTAATAGTGTCAGACATACCATCTTGGTATTTGTTTTCTATTTTTGTTAAATTTTTTGAGAATTTCATACATTGTATTTTCAAATCTCCTTCTATGTCCATCCCACCCTCCTGTTACCTCCACTTGAATTCATGTTCTCTATTATTATTTTTCAGAGGTCTGTTGAGTCTAATTTGTGTTCCCAAATGTTCTTTGGTATATGTTCCATCCCTGGAACCTGGTCAATCTACTCTGCATCACATCCTTCAATAAAACTGACTTTCTTCTCTCCCGAAGCTCTCAGTTGCCAATAGTTCCTCAGCTATGCTGTAATTTCTTGCCCACCTCTCCACCTCCATTCTGGGATTTTCTCTGACTTGAGCTTGTATAGATCTTGTGCATACTGTTAGAATTGCTGTACATTCATATATGTAACATCCCTGAAGTCTGAAAAACAGTTTTTACTTGTGATCATCCACCACCTTTGGCTCTTGCAGTCCCCTGAAACCCCACCCTTCTACAGTGATCTCTGAGCCTTGGGAGGAGAAGGTATGATATGGGTGTCCCATTTGGGGCTAAGCACTCTGCAGTCTCTTATTCTCTGCACATTGACCAGTAGTGTGTCTCTGTTATTTGCCATCTTCTATAAAAAGAATCTTCTCTGGTGAGATTTGAGAGATGTGTTAATTTATGAATATAACAGTCGTTAGGAGGCAGTGTAATAACGTTTAGCAGAATAATAGAGTAGGTTCTCCCGTATAGTCCATGACCTGCCTAGCCACAGGTTCCTAGGTCTGATATCAGGTTTGGGCTCCATCTTGTGAAGTGGGCCTTAAAGCCAATCAGAAAGTAGTTGGTTACTCCTATAATATTCATGCCACTGTTACACTAGTGGGCATATCTTGCCAGGCCACTTGTTACTACTGTACTTCATAGGGTTCACAGCTAGAAAAGGGTTGATGATTACCTTTCTTTTCCTATAGCATGTATAGCACCTTCCAGTACTATGAAAGCTAGCCAGTAGAGATGAAGCTTTGAGGTCAGTACCAGCTTGATTTCTCATTGTTTGTTCTATGACTCATATGTCTTCAGCAATAGGGTCTTAGTGTCAACTTTTGGGGAGTAGCCAAGAGCTGTGGCAATAGCCAGTATTGTTTGAGGGTCATCCCATGTAGTGTGATGTCACATGTCCATCCATGTCCCCCCACCTCTCGCCTTGCACTCAGTTGTCCACTCCTGGCATTGGGCTTTTTATTTGCTAACCTGTGGTGTCTGGTAGAGGCATTGTCTGTCCATTATAGGATAAAGCCACTTAAACTCTTTTTATAATGTATTTGTCTATACTTAAGACTTTTCTATGTGGTAGGTGACATGACATTTTCAAAAGGCTATTAGTAGTAGTTATCCCTCCCCTGCTCCCGCCTCTGCCTACCCTCACATTTCTCCCACATTTAATCCTCCTACTACATTATTCTCTTTTCTCTCTATATCACTGCATTTATCTCTTTTTACCTGAAGTCCCTTCCCCTTGGCCCTTACAAGTTTCCTTTTTCTACCTTCTTTTGAATTACTTTTCTATTTTTTATTCCATTTGACATCCTTCATTACTTATAACTTTTTTTTGTTATTTTGTGGGGTGTTCTAGTATTTATTTTATAGATCACTAATTTTTCAGTCTATCTTCAAATGGTACTGTACTATTTTATGTATAGTACATTTACATTAATATATTTCCATCTTCCCCATCCATTCTGTTATTTTTTTACATACAAAATACATTATTATTATTATTAGTATTATTATGGCTTACGTAGATGATTATTACTTGAAGTTAAATAAAAATCATAAATACATAAACCTGTAGTATTATTTTCCTCTCCCTGAAATACACACACACACACACACACACACACACACACACACACACACCTTGTACTTGCAGGTCTACTAGAGATACTTTTCTTCCAGCTTTTATATGTCTGAGAGCAGCTTACTAAACTGATTTTGTGATTCTCTTTTTGAGGGCAATTACTTGAGTTATTTGGATCAGGAAACTAATTTTAAATAGCAGTTTTATAAATTCCTAATTATATTTTTATTTTATTTTCAGAATAAAGAAAAAAAAAGAACAGCAGCGTTATGCAGAAGAGCAGAGGATCCTAAGAATGAACCTTCGTGAAGAACCATATTCAGGGGAGAAGATAAGTAACATCTTTGCCCAGTTACAACTTGAAGAAATAAAAGGAGCCAGAGAAAAACAGCAACAGAGAGAAAAGGAATATGCAAGGTGATCTGAAAAGTTCTGCATGGAATTCTGGCTCTAGTGGAGATCTAGTAGGAAGTCGGTTTTCATGGTCTCCATAAAAGAGAATTGGTTGTGTCTTCTCATGCTTTTCCTCATCTGGGAGGGGGGTTGCTGGGGGGACACACTTCACCTGCTGCCGCGACTGGCTAGTGCCTCTCGGAAAGAGCACTGCAGTTTCTCCTAGTGTTGTTTCTTACTGTGAAGAGGAAAAGGTATGAGTCATGAAATAGAACACTTAAGGCTGCTGTACATTGGGATGTGCAGGAGACATTTGTTTTGCCTGATCACGCTGTATTTTTATAGATATGTAGAAGCTTTACGAGCCCAGGTCCAGGAGAAAATGAAGCTTTATAATATCACTTTACCTCCATTATGCTGCTGTGGTCCTGATTTTTGGGATGCTCATCCTGATACCTGTGCCAATAATTGTATTTTCTATAAAAACTACAGAGGTAAGTTCTTGAAAGAATAGTTGTTGAGGTCTAATGGCAATTAAAATTTTTTTTAAAATGTAGATTGTGAATTTAGAATTTACTGAGTGCTTATATATGAGAAAATTTTGTTTGTACCTTTATAAAACAACTATGTGAGACAGTGAAAATTATAGTTTTGTTTCTGATTGATCCCATTTATGGTAGGGAAATATTTCCAGCTCATTACACTGTAAAGGAGACTTGGATTACAGATGTTCCCATAATTGGAGACTATTCAGAGTTTACCTTTAGTTGGTTTCTAAGTTGGAAGTCTGTTATCCACATACTTGAATTGTGTCTGATATAGACTTCCTAGCCTAGGTAGCCATATTAGACTGTCAGTTCTGCCGTGGGACACTGAGGAAAATGAGTTCTGTCAGGAATATGAGGAGCCAGAGAGAATGAAGTCCTTCCTGTGGTTACTAATGTCTCTTGTCTATCCTTAAATATATTGTTATAGGCTATAGAGATTATGTCAGCCTCATATACACACTGAAATAGTGCTGGTATTTATATTCTTGGATTGCTTCATCTTGGTGATATTAATTTCCTATCAGTCCCCTGAACTTAACACTCTGACCATTCCCCTATTTTAAAATCTATGTCTTCCCACAAGATGCATGACATATTCTGTATGCTTTCTTCCTGGCCAAAGGCCACATTGGTCTTATCAAACTTCTGCCCCTTTTGCATCTCCTAATGCTTTATCCTCAGTGCTTCCTTTTCTTTGTTCCTATTAATCTTCCAAAACTTTTTTTTTAAATTTTTTGTGGTGAGTGAATTTTCAGATTCCGTGTGTGAAATTCTTGGACAGTTTATTCTGTCACTTCTTTGGAACTGTCTTTCAGTTCCGTTGTCTGTTCTTTCCAGAACTGCATTTGGACAGATGTTGGGCCCCCTGAACCAGTCCATTAAATGTCCTATCCTTTCTCCATCTTCCCTTTCATGTATCTTGTATTATGAGATTCGTAGTATATACAAAACTTTGAATGTATATTACTATGGCTTATAATGTAATCATTAAATGAGTTCTTGTACTAATCAACCAGGAGAAAAAAATAGGACATAAATATACCTCAGAAGCTGTTGATGTTACACTGAAGAATTCTATCCACTATATGTGAAAGTCTAAATAAATTAGCATATTCTTAGCTTGAAAATAAATAATAAATAAATAAATAATAAATGGAACACCGGTTTTAAAAAAACCTCATTTTAAATGGTAGCATTCCTGGGAATCTTCCAGTGTCCCATACTTACTCATTCTTTCCCATCTCTATTTTGGGATGATATTTTGTATTGCCTGTGGTTTAGAAATAGTAATAGTAGTATAGTTTATAGTGTAGTTATAGTTCATGTAGACAAAACTTTGTTACCATTTTTTGCATTCTCTTTTCTTTCCTCACAGAGTACTTACATTTTTGTAAGTACCCAATAAATATGTTATTCAGTGACTAAAGTTAAATCCTGTGAGAGTTTATTCATTATTAGGCAAATCTTTATTTGCAGCATATAACCGGGCATTACATTCAGTCATCAGTTCATCTGATATCTCCGAGGGGAACTCAACTCTACGAAATGCCATTCGTAATTTTGCTTCTGCACACAGACGAACTTCAAAAAAAGGTAATGAGAATCTGAAATCAGTGGCAACAACTAGTAGTATTTCAACTTTCATTTAAAGTTAGCCATGAAAGATTGTTTAGGAAAGGCTGTTAAAGTTCACAGGACGTATTCTGGAAAGAAATGCTTTCCACATGATAACTGTTTGCAATTAGATACCTTCCTTGGGACCAACATTGAAAGTTGACTTCCAGACTTGTCTCTTCTTTGTTCTGAACCATGTGGAACCCATTATATTTAAAGTGATCAGAAAAATAAGGTTTCTCTTTGCTTTTTGTTGTTGTCTTTTTTTTTCCTTCCAGTCTGTTTAGCTTTCTCTTTCTTTGCTCTGATCAGCGGAGGTCAAGAGAATTTTTTGAGATTATCTTATTTATCATCTTCCTAAAATTGTGCCTTTTAATCTTCACAGTGTTGAAAGTATCTGGAAAAGTAGAAAGGAAAGTGATGAAATCAGCTCTGTGCAGTGCCCATCTATAATGCCATTTGTTTTTCTAGTTTTGTATAATAATTAGAGACGAGAAGAATTTGAATTTGATGCACATTTTCTTCTCAAAATTTTCCTTCTTTTTTTCCTTGTAAATTATTTCCTCTTTTCTTGTTCAGTGACATTTGACATAGGATTTTTTTAATTATACTTTTATTGTCCCAAAGCCAGACCCTAGCTTTTGAATATCTTTTATGTGAGATAATTGTGATTAAATATTTCCAAAAGTGTATCTAAAGTTAAGGAGTTAAGTCCTGCCTTATTTCCCTATCTTTTAAAATCTGGCAGATGACACACTTGCAGCAAATGAAATAAAAGTTGCCATTGCTGGTATGAATTTTTTTTCACTTTATTTCCTGATGCAAAATTTCAAATGATTTAATGTTATAAATTAAAGACAGCACTTAGATTATATCACACAACAAGAAAAGGCTAAACTTCTAGCCAGGTTCTTGAAAATAAGAATCAAAGTTACATAAATGACAAGATTGATGGGTTATTTAACCAGATTAGTTATTGGTTCAGTCAGAATCCTTGAAGTAAGTATTGGCTTTATTCAACCATATACAGTTGTATTTTAATAGATACGTTTAGATATAATTCACATGTACACAAATCACCAACTTAAAGTACACAATTCAGTGGGTTTTAGTAAATTCATGGGGTTCTACCATCATTGCTGCAAAAGAAGACCCTGTGATCTAACAGTCCTACTTCTGGGTTTACATCCAAAAGAATTAAGATCTGAAACGGATGTTTCTACCCCCTATTTGTAGTAACATTATTCATCATAGCTTACGTATGGAACTAACCCTAGTCCATCGACTTGTGAGTAGATTTTAAAAAGTGGAATATACTTGAGAATACATACAGAAGAGTAAGCAAGCTTCGAAAGATGGAAATCCTGTCATATGTTGCAACATTATGCTAAGTAAAATAAGGCATTCACAAAAAGACCAACATTATATGATGCTGCTTATGTGAGATCCATAAAGCAGTCGGATTCACAGGAACAGTAAAATGGTGGTTGCTAGGAGCTGGAGGTAGGAGGAAATGAGGCATTGTCATTCAATGGATATAGAATTTTAGTTTTTCTAGATGAAAAAGTTCTAGAATTCTGTTTCACAGTAATGTAACTATTTATTATTGAACTGTACGCTTAAAATGGTCACAATGGTAAGTTTTAGTTTATATGATTCTTTTAAATGTAATTTAAGTACAGAGTGTTCCTGAACTTTCATTAATTGCTGATACTGAAGAGTTCTATAGTTTAAAAATAGTTTAAAATCTACTGCATATAACTTTTTAAAAATCCAAGCACTTCTCATGCTAGCTAATTCCCTCTTTTTCACAGCTAAGGAATGTCAGCAGAGTGCTGTGTCGCTGTATGCAAAATCAAGACAACTTGAAGCTAAATGGATGTCCACCACAGTGTCAGCAGATCCAGCCTCACAGAGCACAACCTGAGCTACAGCCCCTCCCAAAAACATCTTCCCCACACTAATCAAGAAGCATCAAGAGTTTGTCTTGGCTGTTTTGATCTCTTTATAAACCAAAGATATGTACAGTTGGCAACACATATTAATGCGAACTTACAAACTAAAAACAAAATGCCAGAAACATTCATCTTCCCCACACTAATCAAGAAGCATCAAGAGTTTGTCTTGGCTGTTTTGTTCTCTTTATAAACCAAAGATATGTACAGTTGGCAACACAGGGTTTATACCAATAACCATATTAATGCGAACTTACAAACTAAAAACAAAATGCCAGAAACATCTTCAAATACTGCATTATACCAATAGCAAAGTGCAAAGTAATGAAAACACGAGTACCTTTTTATTTTTAAGATGTTTAGAAATATGTACAACTTTGATACAGTTTTAGAGATCTTGACACCCATGTGCACTTGTAAACCACTGCAATATGACTGTGATTATATTTTGTGATTAAACCTAATGAGGTAATAGCTCAAAAAAGAGATGTGTTGGTCATAGTGCTCCCCTGTTCTCTGTATTTACAAGGAGACAGAGAAACAGTTTTTTAGCAGGCATGTCATGCATGCCTATAATCCCAGCACTTGTGAGGATGAGGTAAGGAGGATTAGGAGTTCAAAGCTAGGATCAGCCACATGAGACCATCTCAGTAAATAAATAAATAAATAAATAAGACCACCACCCCCCCCCAAATCTTCCTCTTCCACCTCTTATGGGCAACTTTAGTGTCATCCTTTGCAATATCAAACTTACCTTTAGACTTGTACTCAGCAACATCTTTGGCATCCTTCTACCTTAGCACCTTTGTGAGGTATGGCTGCCTTTCCCTACAATTTAAGCTAGTTTGCATCTCACCCAACTTTCTTTTTTAAGCCACATCTCCAATGGAGATGCCGGGATTTGTGGATTTGATCTTGGATCAGAATTCTGAACAAAACAAGAAGAATCCAGACAAGTGTCTTTGGGAGCATCGGGATCCTTTTCCTTCTTGCCTCTTGTAGCTGGTCTGTACTCCTTCATTTTCCAGTCACAGGGTGCTTTATCCACCTTTGTCATTTCTTCAAATTTAAGTTTCTCTTTCCCAGATATTGTCTTCCACTTCTCAGAGCATTTTTTTGGAAATTCTGCAATACTGATAGAAATCTCCGGTTTTTCGTCTTATGGTCTTCTCTATATTGCACAAAGAAGGCTTAAACAGTCTTCCTGCCCTTTGGTTTGACGTCACTTTTAGCTGTCCTGACTGTATGGTTTGCTATGAAGCACTGCGGACAATACATGGCTCCTTTGCCTCATGAGAGCTATCTCCACGAGACCCAGCTCCTGCATGTTTTCTATTAGTTAAAAATGTAAAAATAAAACAAACGGAACCCCATACTCAGTAGCGGTCACTCCCCATTCTTCCTTCCCAACCCTAGGTAACCACTGATCTGTTTGTATTTGTGACTTATAAATGAAATGTACAATATGAACTCCTTTGTGAGTGAGTTGTTTCATTTAGGCTAATGGTTTCAAGATTTATCCTTATAGAATGTATCAATGCTTCATTGCTTTTCATTGTTGAACAGCATCCTGTGGATTAAGCCATATTTATCCAGTGATAGATATTTGGATTGTTTCCCCTTCTTGGTTATTATGTATACTGCTGTGAGCAGTTGTTTACAGGATGAGAAGCCATAATGTTTTCCAAAGTTATTGCGCCATTTTGTATTCCCACTAGGAGTGTATGAAGGTTCAGAGGGCTTCACATCTTTGCCAGTGCTTCCCTTATGCTTACTTGTCTTACACAGGTGGTTGTGAAGTGGTATTTCATTGCAGTTTTAATTTGCATTTTATTGATAGCTATTAATGTTGATCATTTTTTCATATTCCTGTTGGTCACTTTGGGTATGTCTTTTGGAGAAGTTTTTTCAGATACTTAGCCGACTTCATAATTGGGTAGTCTTTTGTTACTGAGTTAGAAGAGTTCTCTATATGTCCTATATATGAGTCTTTTATCAGGTATATAATCATTGAATGTTTTCTCCCATTCTGGAGATTTTTTTCCCATTTTGTTTTATTTATTTATTTATTTATTATATTTTGAGATAGGGTTTTTTTGTAATCCCAACTGACCCAGAACTCTATGTAGGCCAGGCTGACCTCAGTCTCATAGAGATCCACCCATCACTGCCTCCTGAGTCCTCAGATTAAAGGCATGCATTTGTAGCCCAAACTTAAATTTAATGAAATCCAATTTATGAATCCAATTTTGTAGTTTGTGCTTTCATTGTAATCTTTCAAAATTTATCTAATCTAAGGTCACAAATATTTATTCCTATGTGTTAAGACTCTTAGTAGTGTTGAATTTATGTTTAGGCTATGATCCATTTTGAGTTAATGTTTTCCAATTTCATTCTTTCACATGTAGATAACTAGTGCCCCACTACCACTTGTAAAAGACTATTATTTGATCCATTGAATTGACCATAAATGTCAGAATTTAGTTGTGAAATTTCATTTCTAATCCATTCCTCTATTGGTCTATCTGCAATATTTCTGAAATACCATAGGTTGCAGTAAGCTTTGAAGTTGGCAAGTGTGAGTCATCCAACTTCGTTGTTCTTTTTGCAGATAATTTTACTTTTCTTCTCAGTCCATACAGTTTCATACTAATTTTAAGGTCACTTTCCTACAAAAAAAAAAAAGCCAGGTGAATTCTGATAGGGAACATACTAAGTTGTTAATTAGTCAGGACAGTTACCTTCTGACCCATGAATATGGGATGTCTTCCCGTTTATGTACATCTTTAATTTTGTTCAGCAGAGTGCAAAACTTTTACTAAATTCATTCTTAAGTGCTTTATTATTTTTGATCTTATTGTAAATTAAATTGCTTTCTCTCTTTCTTTCTGTTTCCCTTGAGACTGACCTCAAACTCGTGTAGCCAAGGACAAACTTGAACTCCTGAGATCCTGTGTCTACTTCCTGAGTGTTAGATTATAGGCATGCACCACCACACCTGGTTTATGCAGTGCTGGAGGTTAAACACAAGGATTCATGAATGCTAGGCAAGCACTCTAACAACCAAGCTACATTCCCGGCCCAGGATTTATTTTTATTTTTTATTTTACTTGCTCTGTGTGTGTCTGTGTGTTTGTGTGTGTCTGTGTCTCTGTGTGTATGTGTGACCGCAGGTATGTGGGTATTAATGCACACATGTGTAGAGGTCATAGGTGAGCTTTCAAGAATCAGTTCTTTCCTTCCACTGTGGGATCCGGGGATCAAATGCAGATTGTCAGGCTAGTTCACCAAACACTTTTATCCACTGAGTCATCTTAACAGCTCTAGGCTAGAATTTCTTTTATGTGTTTGATCTTGTCAACTTCAAGTAGAATTTGACTTCTTTCTTTCCAATTCAGCCCTTTATTTTTCTTGTCTAATTACCTATTAGAACATCTTGCACAAAGTTGTATAAAAATGGCAAAATTGGCATCCTTATCTTGTTTCTGATCTTAGAAACAAAGAATTTTCAATTCTTATGCCATTTATCAAATTTAATGAATTTTCCTTTTATTATTAGTTTATTGAGTGGTATTATCCTGGAGAAGTTTTGAGTTTCCAGAAAGAAAATGGCTTTTCTTTTTTTCTTTTGAGACAGAGTCTCACTGTGTATTCCTGGCTGGCCTGGAACTTGCTGTGTAGACCAGGCTGGCCTTGAGCTCACAGAGATCCACCTGCCTCTGCCTCCTGAGTACTGGGATTAAAAGCATGTGCCACCATACCCAGCCTAACGTTTTTTTCTGTAAGATTATATTGTGTTCTTTTTTTTCCTCTCTTTTTTTCTTCTTTTTGGTGTTTTGAACCAGGATCTTGCCACATAGCCCAAGTGTTCCTGCTTCAGCCTCCTGTCTTTAAAAAATAAAGTTGTTTTTACCGGTTTTTATGTGTTAAAGCAACTTTATTTTTCTAGGGTAAGATGTATTGGCTTTTATTTATTTGTTTCTTTGGTCTTAACACAAGTTTTTTTGCTTTACTTTTTAAAACTTTTTTTTTTAGGGGGAGGGGAATTTTTTTTGAGGCAGAGTCTCCCTGTAGCCCCAGCTGGCCTAGACTCACTATGTAGACCAGGCTAGCCTTGACCTCCAAAAGGTCCGCCTGCCTCTGCCTCCCGAGTGCTGGGACTAAAGGTGTGCAGTTTGGTTTTGTGAAACAGGTGATTTGACTTGTCTAATCTCAAGTTAATAGAGTGATGATGGGAATAGGCCACCAAATATGATTAGAAAACTTTTTAAGAGTTTTGGGTTGTGTCTGTGAATATAGATTTCAAGAATGAAAATACTCTTGCACTGTAATTTGGTTATATGTTAACCATGTCTAAAGGTTTGTCTTTGTGGAGTTAGAGAATGCTGAGAGAAGTAATGTCTTCCAAAGAAGTTTGAGTCACATGGCCCTGTGTGATGGTAGTGTGGTTGGTAGTGCTTTGGGGGAAAAATATGGTCCTCAAGGTTTGTGGGGGTTTTCTCCCCTGAATTTACAAGTATATGGAGTCAGAATTTACATGATGAGATTTAACCAGCTTTCTAGATTACCAAGTACCTTTAAGAAAGAAGAGGATAAAAGAAAAAAAAAACAAAACTGAACCTAAATAAGATAGAGTTTTGATTTCTGGAGCAAGGTTTCGGGGTGAGGGAAATAGGACTAAATTTGGGCTCAGAATTGAAAGTAGGGTGTGGCTAGGGATGTAGCTCATTGATAAGAGTAAGAGTGTTTGCTTAGCACATGTAAGGCTAGGAGTTTGATCCTAGTACAGAATAAAAAAGTCAATGAATGAGTCAGTGCCAGAATTATAGGTGTATGCTGTCACACTCAGCTTTAAACTTGGCACATCCAGGGCTGGAGAGATGGCTCTGCTGTTAAGAGCATTGACTGTTCTTGCAGAGGACCTGGGTTCAATTCCCAGCATCCACATGGCAGCTATGAATCGTTCTTAACTCCAGTTCCAAGGGAATCCGACACCTTCTTCTGACCTCCGTGGCATTGCACAACACAGGTGCACTCACATGCACGCAATAAACTCATACCCCTTAAAAAAAATTTTTTTTAAACAAACAAAAAAAAACTTGACACATCTAAAAGGCAACCTT